TACCGATTGAAGTCAAATATTATGGATTGTTTTCTTTAGAGTTTAGAACTAAAAATCAAAATCCTTCGTAAAGGTTTTGTGATTTAGAGAGGAGGATTGACATACGAAGCCCTGCAGATATTGATGAACCCCAATACTCTGAATAAAAGGGATGGAACATGATAGCAGCATCATGGGGGCTACCGACGAATAAATATAACATAACTGCTACGATTTGACTTCCACTGCAAATATTATGATCACGATCAACAGAAATGTTTGTTAGCCGACTAGAAGGGTTAATTTGTCCTCAACTCGAGAATGACCATATATGATCACTGAATTTGCAAGAGAATTACAAGACAGTAAATGAATAGAAATACGTGTTGGCTTCATCATCAACCGCAGCCCGAATATTTGCAGTAAAATCGCCACATGCCGAAACTTAATGATGTGTTAGGGACCACGAAGAATAACACTACGTACGTGGGGATTCATTTTATTTTAACACAGATATTGGTACAAGGGGGCACCAAATACATATGCGCCACACAAATCTCATTTGATATGTGTGAGGGCTGTGATACTGCCCGGGTGCCCAAAACGAAGCAGGTGATTTTCTTAGTGAGCCACACCTAGAGCCTTGGACCTGAAGGTCTGATCCACAAGGCAGTGGAGCATCGTGAGTAGATGCAGTCCCATGGTAGCCAGTGACCAAGAAATTGGTTCATATGCCATTTGCTCCTTCAGGATACTGGAGCCCATGTGCACCAGTGGTTTGGAATCAGAGTTTTCCAACTCCCCTAGGTGGACTCTCCATGTCCACCAACATTCGCTTTTCGTCCTCTCAATTTCGTAAACAACAATAGTGCCACGAAAAGGCAATGAGTAAGACTTCCCTGACAGAGGCTATATACGCGTGGCCATGTGAGAGCATTTCGAGAGGTAGAACGGACTCTCCCCACTCTCGGCTGTACCAGGGCATTTGGGGGCAAATAGGAACAATAACGGGGCAAATTTGTATGCATATAGCATACAATTCTCTTTGAACCTAGCACACAACAATAGCATCATGCACTGTTCCATCGCCCTTGGCAGATCAGGCAACCCGAAAATTACGTGAACACCATCAGGGCATACGACAAGCTAGGTATCCCGAGAAGTCACAATAACGAAACCATCGAGAAGCAGATAATTCTTGACCATCCAAATAGGGATTTTAAAACAGTAAGGGATAATGTACTATCATAAAGATGGATAAACACATCTTTACTGCGACTCACAGCATCGATGAAGGATATACATGGGGATGGTGTATGTTGTAAACCACTGAGTGGAATACAACTTAAATCTGCGATGATATGCAGATAATCAAACGATGAACTGCCTGGAAAGTTGAACATTTTTAAATTTTGCTATTGCAGACTTCTCGACAGTAACTGAAGTTTAAGAAGCAATAGCTAATCTGAAACGAGGAAAAGCAGCTGGTTCAGATGGATTGGCTCTAAAGGTCTTTAACCATGGTGGCCCAGTTTTAGCGATTAGGTTGACTAATATTTTAGCTAAAATCTGGGAGTTGGACGTAACCCCACCTGACTGGTCGCAATTACTGATTGTCCCAATATATAAGGGGTCAAAATTATCCTGTGATAACCATAGAGGGATTAGTTTGACTAACATAGCATCTAAAATACTAGCCTCAATAATTATCGGACGCTTAACAAAGACTCGTGAACTGCAAGCACGAGAAAATTAGTCTGGCTTCAGACCCGTTCGTGGCTTCATCGACCACATATTCACCAGTCGTCAGGTCCTAGAACACATGCATGCTTATCGGTGTCCGACAATGATAGTTTTTCTTGACTTAAAAACACCATTTGACTCTGCAGACCGAGAGGTTCTGTGGCAGTGTCTGTCATTGAAAGGTGTACCTCAGAAGTACATAAACCTTGTGAAGGCCGTTTACTCGAACACCACCAGTAGAGTCAGAGCTTATGGCGAACTGTCATCTGATTTCGCAACCTCAAGTAGTGTCCATCAAGGCTGTCCACTATCTCCACTTTTGTTTAATTTCACGATAGACCTACTGCTGGAAATAACGTTCTCGTCGACTGAATTTTCGAGCATTGATCTCCTATCAGAAGCTATACTTACCGATTCAGAATACGCAGATGACATAGTCCTGTTTGGTGGAGACGCTGACAAAATTCAGTCTTTTGGTAGCAACAATGTCAGGATGTTTGGAATGCGCTTCCGCCCCTCTAAATGCAAGTTATTGCTTCAGGACTGGGCTGCGTCAACTCCTGAACTAAAGATAGGGATTGAAGTAGTTGAACGCGTTGACAACTTCACTTATCTTGGAAGTCTGATCAACCCTAATAGGTTGGTGTCTGACGAAGCCTCTGCACGGGTTCAGAAAGCTCGTTCGGCTTTTGCCAACTTATGTCACCTATGGCGAAATATCCGTCTATAAATTAAAGGACAAGTATACTGCACGGCAGTTCGTTTTGTTCTACTTTAAGGATGCGAAACATGGCCATTAACAGTAGAAAATACTTGCAAGTTACTAGTATATGATCGCAGATGTCTTAGAAATTATGCTCGCACCTGTTGGGATCACCAGATAATAGTGAGGTTAGGCGCGGAGTATTAGGGAATGATGGTAAATCAGTTGCGAACCTTCATCGACTGAGATGGTTGGGCCACGTGTTGTGCATGCCTGAACACCGATTACCATGACGCGCAATGCTGTCTAGTGTTGGGGATGGTTGGAAGAAAATTAGGGGCGGCCAGACCAAAACGTTGCATCAATGCTTGAAGTCACTAACGTCCGGTCTGAGCCATTTTAGTAAATGCAGACTACTTGGTTGGGGTCTGCGTGACTATCGTAACCAATGGTTGGAGATTCTGGGTGATATGGTTCAGAATCGATCACAATGGCGTAGGTGTATACACTCCCTGTCTTCTCTTAAGCCGTGAGATTAAAACTACTTTATACCTTTAGTTCTACGGACTAATTCTTTCTTTCTCTATTATATCTTTCTTTTACATATTGTTACCACTGAAGTAACTACTTCTATGAATTCGGTGTTGATCTTGTTGTGCTAATGAGATATGGCAACTTGGGCCGATATATGTACCTGATCCTGAGTTTTAGCTGACAGACAGCAGACTTCAACGGTTTATAGGATAAATAGGATAGTAAATGACTTTAGGCCCCAAATATTCACTATATTTTTCTGGAACAGCTTCCTCAACATCAATACGCGTGTGCAAAACAATCAACTGGTTTATACCAGTTTATTACAAAAGTATTAGATATTGGAAAAAGTGAATTTCAAAACCCAGTAGTAAATAGTACTTTTGACATGCATTTAACCAAATATCCCAATTTCTGGGAAGTTTTGCGGATTTCCTCAAAGTCCTATAAAAAATCGTAGTTTTCACTAGACAGGGAGATTTTGGGGCCGTGAGTGTTACTTCGGGAGGCAAAATCCGACTCACACGTCCGCGTCGTGCCTCCTGGATAATGAGACGAATGACTCATGAACTAACGTGAGTGGTAACCCGGGTGGTGGGGATCGAGCTAATCACCCACTCTACATATACTCACCAACTGATTACGAACTCTACAGATAAACATAGCACAACTACATTTGGAATGGAAAAAGACAAAAAAATTTCTCGAAAGTGATGCATGTATCATATGGAGTTGCTCGTCATTGGGCAAACTCCAAAGGTTTGCAGAAACAGCCATTCTAGTCCCGGTAAATGTGCCGTGCTTTGATGTGCCCTGTTTCTCTCCAGAAGGGCCTACTAGGCTTCACCAACTTCTTTGGCTGGAAGGGGGGCAGTGTTACTCCTCCGAAGTTTTGTACTAGAGCTTTTCCGAAGTTGACACATTCTCCCTAGATTCGGAAGATTAGGTGACCCTTGATAACGACTTCCCGTATCTGTATACCGATTCTTTTAATTGATATCTCAAGTTGACTGTAGTTTTGGGTAAGACTTTTGAGCAACGCCAAAACGACCTAGGGATGTCCGTCCACTTAACGGGGTTAGATGGGAGTTACATATTAGCGTTGGGAATTAGGATTTACAGTTGAATGTTAGGGTTATGGAACAGTAGGACACTTAGTTCAAATCGATGATTACAGAGACAAGGTGTTGCGAAATTTCAAGTATCAAAGAAAATGAGTGGGTGAAACTAGTTATGGTTATTTATCAACACTAAGGATGTATATCCTCTCAGAAGCAACCAAGATGCTAAAAGGAAGTTTTATATGACGTTAAAATCCAAACACCAACTTCTGCTATCTCGAACTCCCGCTAGAATGCAATTAGATGATTTTCTGGTGCTCAAGGTCATGTGTAGGACTGTCTAATATTTCATTACAAAATTCCATTTTTACGAGCTAATGCACTCGTTTGTCTTCTCTCTTAGATATTCATGCATTGTAATTTAGTTTCCAGTATTTGGCAGGTTGTAATTGGATTAATTTTGTCACTGTAGTAAATCTGATAACTCCACCTGTAGCTCTTCTAAGGCTATTGCCGGTCCCAAGCCCGGGTAAAAAGGAGGGTTGGGCATGGGGTCGGCAACCCTATCCTGTAGAAAAAAACTTGCTAAAAGCACTAACCAGAATAAACAAATTAAACCATTTAAACTCTGCCCTGAGATTTGAAGGAAGAATTATGATGCATCATGATGGAAGCCGAGATTCTTCGACAGTCAGGAGACCGATACCCCTTCTAAAAACCTGAGCATCAATTTTTATAAGTACATTGAATGTCTGAACGGTGTGAGAGACAGTGAGTATCAGTCAAATAACAACGGAAATGAGGAGATACAACTTGACGGTGCTCGGAATCGGTTGTAGCGGTAAATAAATCCCCAAAATAAATAGCACTAAGTTTTCGACATTGGATGCTGACCATTTGTTTTAGTGGACTCACCTAGCTGAAGGCGCTCGGTCAGTCATCCGCACCAGATCACGTGTGGTAACGCCGTGCTCAACATCAACCGCAATCGCTAGCCAGATTAGATCAGAGAATTCCGATATATTGGTCATCGCCAAATATACTCTTCCGATCTCCTCGACTCTGTCTTTTGATTTCTCTGGGCGGGAACGAAATATATTAGAAGGTGTTACTGGTAGAAGCGTTGTCAAACACTGAATACCTGTGACATCATCATTGGTGAAACCGACGTGATCTGGTACACCTAATTGCAACTGTGAGTCTGTTCCTTTTTGGGATTTTTATATATCATTGCCTTATTTTTTTTAACTTTTTTAAACATTGTGATTTTTTTTTCGTGTTTTTTCCTGGATATATATATTTTCCCCTTGTTCATTATCGTACTTCATACTTCATCATGACTGAACAGACACCTAAAGTACTCAAGCTTAAGACTTTGTTCCCGCCTTCGTTTCAACTCATGCCTTTCTGGCCCGACAACATCGAAGCCTGGTTTTGCTACGCAGAAGCCGACTTCTCCGAGCACGGCGTGATCGACACACGTGCACAATTCCTCGCAGTAGTCAAGGCACTACCGCGCGAATTCAACAGGTACGTAACACCTAGTATGTTTACTAGTGATGTTTCCGATCCTTACGAAATCTTAAAACGCTCGATTCTTAAACGAGGAGACCTAACCGATCGACAAAGGTTAGATCAACTCTTCAACAATATCGACCTGCAACACGGTTCTGCGACAGACATGTTGCAACGGATGAGAGAGGTTATAGGCCCAAGAACTTTCGACGAAGGCCTATTCAAACAACTCTTCTTGTCAAAACTTCCCCAACAGGTGCAAGCAGTTCTGGTCTCGTTCCAGAACAACGCCTTAGACGAGCTAGCTGCATCTGCCGACCGCATATTAGAAATTACGAAATCTACTACCGAGGTATTTTCAGTCAAAGAAAAACCTCAAACGACTCAGAATGATATAAACGACTTATGTCACACACTCACGCGTTATCTTAGTCTTCGTAACGACCGTAAGAGATCGCGCACACCACGTAGAAGCATTTCTCGTAAGCGATCTGTCTCTAGACCACGAGAGACAGATAACCCCGACTGGTGCTGGTATCATAACCAGTATGGAAAGTTTTCCAGAAATTGCAGAAAACCCTGCAATTTTCCCAACACGAAACCGACTGATTCGAAAAGCAATTCGGGAAACTTCCAAGCCGGCACGCGTTAACGGCAACCGTAGCCGGCGAACAAAGCCGTCTGTTATTCGTCACAGATGTGACAACGAGAGTTCGTTACCTCGTCGACACTGGCGCAGAAGTTAGCGTTCTCCCAGCGATTCCTAACGACCGACTACACGAATCGACCCTAAACTTACAGGCGGCAAACGGAAAACCGATCGCTACGTATGGCAAAAGGTACGTTTACCTTAACGTGGGTTTACGCAAACCCATCCACTGGATTTTCGTTGTTGCAGATGTTTCTATGCCAATCATTGGTATGGATCTTCTACAACACCACAATCTGATCATCGACACGCGCAAACGGAAGCTAGTAGACGGTAACACTAATTTGTCCGTTTGCGTAACTTCTTTTACTGGTTGTAGAGTATCCCCAGTCACAGTTAAACATATGATAGACCCACTCTATCAACCACTACTCGATAAGTACCCTGAGATACAACAAACTCAAACGAAACTACCGTGTGTAACCAGCAATGTTACACATCACATCACGACTACAGGACCACCTGTATTTTCTAAAGCACGCCGACTAGCTCCTGAAAAGCTAAGGTTAGCGAAAAACGAATTCGATCACATGATGAACTTAGGAATCATACGACCGTCAAGTAGCCCATATGCATCTCCGTTGCACATGGTCCCTAAAAAGGACAGCAACGATTGGCGTCCAACTGGTGACTATCGGCGATTGAACGCGAAAACCATTCCCGATCGTTACCCGTTGCCTCACATTCACGATTTGACAGCTACCTTGAAAGGTACAACTGTCTTTTCGAAAATCGACTTGGTCAAAGCGTATAACCAAATCCCTATGGCTACTGACGACATACCGAAAACAGCTATCATAACTCCTTTCGGACTCTATGAATTTTTGCGTATGCCTTTCGGTCTAAGGAATGCTGCTCAAACATTCCAAAGATTCATAGACGACGTTTTTCGAGGTCTCAACTTCGTACACGCGTATGTTGATGACTGTCTAATCGCAAGTCCGGACAGAGAAACACATCTCAAGCATCTGGATCTTGTCTTCGAACGACTTCAAAAACATGGCATAACTGTAAACGTTCAGAAATGCCAATTCGGAACCGACTCGTTAGACTTCCTAGGACACACTATCGATGCTCAAGGCATTCGACCTCTTAGGACCAAAGTGGCGGCCATTCTGGATTACCCAGAACCGACCACCGTCAAGCAATTACGCACGTTTAACGGCCTGGTAAGTTTCTATAGACGTTTCATACCGAAATGCGCATTACTCATGAAACCTCTAACCGACCAACTTCGTGGAAATGCGAAATCCATTAATTTGGACGACACCGCACGAAAAGCATTCTCCACAGTTAAGGAACTGATTGCTAAAGCAACAATGCTCGCACATCAGGACACCCGAGCACCCATTAGCATCGCAGTAGACGCATCCGACTCGGCAATCGGAGGAGTCTTACAACAATGGGTTAACAACTCCTGGCAACCCTTGGCATTTTTCTCTAGACGGTTGCTAGACACCGAATCGAGGTACAGCACATTCGGTAGGGAACTCCTAGCTATGTATTGTACTGTACGGCATTTCAACACTACATCGAAGGTCGTGAATTCACTCTTTTTACGGATCATAAACCGCTTACTTTCTCGTTAAGCTCTCCTTCTGACAAGTACTCTCCCCGTGAGTCTCGACAACTGGACTACATTTCGCAGTTTACTTCAGATATTCAACACATCTCTGGAGCAAACAATGTAGTTGCAGACGCTTTATCTCGTATAACTTCCTTGAACAGTTTCCAAGGAATCGACCTTCTTAAACTCGCCGAGCTTCAAAAAGAAGACACTGATCTTCAGCACGAGTTATCGTCCACAACACTTAAACTACGCATCAAACAGATGGGAACAGGTAAGGAAACCTTACTTTGTGACACATCTACAGGTAGGGATCGCCCAATCGTGCCGAAACATTATCGACGCAATGTCTTCAACACATTGCACAAACTTTCGCATCCAGGTGTTCGTGCAACCATCAAGCTTATAGCAGAAAGGTTTTGCTGGCCTGGAATGAATAAAGACGTGAGGGAGTGGGCACGCTCCTGTGTAAGCTGCCAAAAATCTAAGGTTATCAGACACAATAAATGTCCCTTAGGCTCGTTTAAAACTCCCGATGCTCGTTTCGACCATGTTCATCTGGATTTGGTAGGACCTTTACCAGATTCGAATGGATACTCTTATCTCTTAACCTGCGTAGACCGTTTCACTCGATGGCCAGAAGCAGTACCTATCAAGGACATCACTGCTGAAACAGTGGCTCGCACCTTCGTCGAACGATGGGTAGCAAACTTCGGCTGCCCTTCAACCATCACTACAGACCGCGGACGTCAATTTGAATCTGATCTTTTCCGTCGTCTGACCACTCTTTTAGGAAGCACTCGCTTCCGAACGACCGCCTACCATCCACAAGCAAACGGGTTGGTAGAACGTTTTCACCGACAACTGAAAGCTTCGCTATCAGCTACAAACGTTTCACAGTGGACCGACGCTCTTCCACTCGTCTTACTAGGTATCCGCAATGCAGTGAAAGCTGACATTGGATACACTGCGTCTCAACTCGTTTATGGTACGACACTTCGACTTCCAGGAGAATTCGTGGATCCTTCATCCTCTTCAATGAACATGGATCTAACCTCCTACACGAACAGGCTTACAAACGCAATGCGTTCAGTTAAACCTGCTTCCACCCGACCTCAATCAACTGATGTTTTCGTTCAACCTGACTTACGATATAGTACACACGTTTTCGTTCGTCGAGACTCGCATCGACGACCCTTCGAATCAGCATACGAAGGACCCTTCAAAGTTCTTCAACGTGAATCTAAGTACTATATAGTCGATAAGAACGGAACCAACGATAGCATCAGTATCGATCGCTTAAAAGCAGCGTATTTAGAAGGAAATCCTATCTACGTGGATTTTCCTTCGGTACAATTGAACGACACGACTCCGACACTTATAATACCTCATCCGACAACCAACACACACGATGATACTTCGACAGTATCCGAAAATAAACTTAAAACGACGCGTTCTGGAAGAAGGGTGAGATTTCCAGAACATCTAAACGACTATTGCACGTAAGGCACTTCTCGACATCTTATATTATTTTAAAAAAAAAAAACAATTTTAATATGCTTATATATTTTTATTTCTATTTAAAAAAAAAACAAAACAAAAAAACAATTTTTTTAACGCTATTACGTGTTCATGAGTTTATTTTCCATTTTTTTTTCCGCCGACATTGCGCTTTGACGCACATACGAGTGTATTTCGACATGCACTTACATTTTCTTTTTTCTTTTCCAGGACGGCTGGAAAAGAACGATGACGTTTATGAGGATCCGAAATTTTCATTGTACATTTTCTTTTTTTACTATGTTGTACCTCCGTCCCATATAGTAAGGAAAGACGACCAGACGCTGCTAAATTTAGTAAGCTATCAGAAGAGTGTTTACCAACGACAAACTCCTTGGGTTTAAACTTCTGGCTGGCCACGTCTTAGGGTCGTCACTGCCCCACTAGGGGGGGAGTGATCTGTAGCGGTAAATAAATCCCCAAAATAAATAGCACTAAGTTTTCGACATTGGATGCTGACCATTTGTTTTAGTGGACTCACCTAGCTGAAGGCGCTCGGTCAGTCATCCGCACCAGATCACGTGTGGTAACGCCGTGCTCAACATCAACCGCAATCGCTAGCCAGATTAGATCAGAGAATTCCGATATATTGGTCATCGCCAAATATACTCTTCCGATCTCCTCGACTCTGTCTTTTGATTTCTCTGGGCGGGAACGAAATATATTAGAAGGTGTTACTGGTAGAAGCGTTGTCAAACACTGAATACCTGTGACATCATCACGGTGAAACCCATTAAACCCGAGCTGGATGGGAAACGATAGATTCCAGAGAGATTCTGCTGTATTCTGGTGATGAAGAAGACAATGCTTGACACACCTAATGAGCTGTTCTGATGTTGTCCAAATAAGCAGGTAAAGCACCTATGAAATGAGAATTTCATGGACCCAGGATCACCAAAGCATCCTTCTAGATAAAGAAGGAGGGGGCATAATGAATGCTATCCAATGTTATGCACCTACCAATGACAGTAATAACGTCGATAACAAGTAGTTCCACTCCGAGCTGCAATCTATCATAGCGAAGTGCCCAAGAAAGGATCTGACAATCCTGATGGTAGATGTAAACACAAAAGTCGGAATGGACAACAACGCTTATGAAGATATCGTCGTACGACATGAACTGGAAGAAAGAAACGAGACTGGCGAGCGATTCGAAAATCTTTGTGGATTCAACAAACTGGTTATAGGCGGCGCAATATTTCCACACAAACACATACACGAAGCTACATGGGTCTCACCGGACTACATCACGGAGAACCAGTTAGGTCATATTTATATCAGTAAAAATTTCAGAAGGTCGATGGAAAACGTGGGAACGAGGAGATGAACTAACATAGCTTCGTATCACCACTTGGTGGAAGCCAAGATGAAACCGAAGCTAAAGAAACAGTGGACATCCGTGAAAACAACAGTACAAAGTTTCAATACAGTCTTCCTTCGAAATTCTGACAAACACAACGAATTCAGGATAGCTCTCAACAACAGGTTCCAAATCTTACAAGATCTACTCAAAGAAGAGGAAACTACCATGAAGGATGACTGTAAAGAGATAAGAGAAACACTGACTTCAACGTGCTAGGAACGGCTGGGCTGCAAGAAGCATCATCATAGGGAATGAATCTCTATCAAAACTTTAGACAAGATCCAGGAAATGAAGAACAAGAAGACAGCATTTGACAACAGAACAGAGAAAATCAAGGCACAGATCGAATACACAGGAGCAAGCAAGCAAGTGAAGAGGAGCACTAGAGCTGACAAGCAGAAATACGTGGGAGGGCTATTAACGACAGCGGAAAAGGCTATGGGAGAAAGAAATATGGGACAACTATTTGACACAACGAAGAAACTGATAGGGAAAATATGTTAAAACAGAAAGACCAGTCAAGGACAAAGGAGGACAGTTAACCACTAAAATTCAAGAACAGAGGAACAAATGGGTAAAATACTTTTAGGAACTCTTGGATAGACCAGCTCCATTGAATCCACGTACACCGAGGCATCACTCACAGACCTACCTATCGACAACACTCTACCAAAGATCGAAGAAATCAGGATGGTTATCAGACAAATCAAGATTTGGAAAGCAGCAGGACTTGACAATATACCAACTGAAACACTAAAGTAAGGCACATGAGTAACTGCAAACATGCTTCACGTTCTATTCAGGAATATTTGAAGGGGGAACAAGTGCCGACGGACTGGAGTGAAGTATACCTGTAGAATTATGGTCTACTATGATATTAGTACTGCTCTAATAATAGACCTAATCCTAAATTTGTAGATTTGTCATGATATAACTGCCTAATCTATAAGATCTTACGTGGAAGTCACACCATCGACTACACCAACTCACTGTATCGTATCAATTACCAATACATGATGTAGAACAAGGTTAGGCTAGAGAAAGAACAATATATTTAATATGAATAGAAGATATAAGGTAACATTCAGCAGGGACCACGCCTGCATGGCCGAGCCATGCCATTCGACCAACTCTAATTCATTCAATTCATTCTTCGCGCCTTCTCCATTCTTAGGTATTTATCCGCGTTAAATATTGAATATCTATTTTCTGAGTAGTCTCGTGTTTGGCTTTGTGGATTGTGCGGTTATTGTCCAATGCCACTACATACCTCCTCAAGACACAAAAGAAAGATTTGAGAAGTTGTGAGAACTAGTGAGGCTTCACACTACTGTCAGTATCTGGAAAAGTTTTCAACAGACTGTTGCTGAACCGGATGAAATCTCAGTAGACGCCTAACTTCGAGATCAACAGGCTGGATTCCGTAAAGATCAGACCAAATCGCGACGCTACGGATCATTGTTGAACAATCAGTTGAGTGGAATTCGACAATGTACATCAACTTCCTTGATTATGAGAAGGGATTTGACAATGTGGACAGGAGAACATTATGAAAACTTCCTCGATACTGTGGAGTACCTGAAGAACTCGTCAAAAATCGCCCGGAATTCATACGACGGATTGCAAAGTGGTGCGTGGAGGACAGCTGACAGACGCATTCCAAGTAATTATCGAAGTCAGACAAGGCTGTTTACTCTCCCTCGTCCTCTTTCTTCTGGTGGTCGACTGGATTATGAATACCTCGACATCTGAGGGGAAGCACGGGATAAAATGGACAGCTCGTAGTCAGTCAGAAGGTTTGGACTTCTCCGATGACCTGGCTCTTCTGCCCCATGCACATCAAAAAACGCACATTAAGACAACTTGTGTAGCGGCAGTAGGCCTTGATATACACAAGGGAAAAAGCAACATTTTCAAATACAATACAGGGAAGACCAACCCAATATCACCTGGTCGAAACAAACTGACTTCTTCGAGCTCACTTTTTGGTGTTACAGTGCAATGTTGGGTCTTTGATAGAGAGGCTAGTTCGTTGCTGTAAAAAGTTTAGATATAATATAATATATATAGAAGGGAAGGGAAAGTGTGTCTACATACACTTTAGGGATACAAAGGTAACTAGGTACAGAATAGGGGTAGTGCCTGTACCCGTGGTCCGGTATCACGAGGGTCTTGGAACGACAGTGATTCATGATCTTAAGACCACGGCCCACAACCTAGGGTTTCATCTAAAGGGTATATGACCCTATGGGCTTTAAGAAGGACATTCACCAAATTAGATACCAACATGTTCACTACAGTGTACACAATCTTAGTGATAACTAAGTTTTAAAACTGGGTTCAGATTGCAAGCCCATGTTTAAGAGGTAACTCGGGTATGCCGGGAAAATACACAGAACAGCTCCCCTTGAAATTCCAGAACTCTGGAGTTTGTCGTACAAAGGGCGGCTTGGAAAGCTGGTTTTTGTACTCTGTCCTATCGCAGATTTAGATCTGATCTGATTTCAGCGTATAGAATACCAAGAAATCATTCTGGACATTATATATCCTTTCTTTTTTTCCCAACAGACCGGGATATCTTAGGGGATATAACGGGTGAGTAGAAAATCCAAGCACGAACAAAATACCGGTGGCATACAGGTCCTCACAGCAAGCCATAAATTCTTGGAATCTATTACCTGAAGCATTCGCACCTTTGATTGTCCCGCTCAAGGGGAGACTAGACACTCACAAAGCATGCCAGAAAGGAAATAACATTGACCGTAGGCCTTCTGTCTTTACTACAAAAATCTGAAATCTGAAAACCTGAATCTGACAATGGTCATATGAAGTATTTACAAAAACTAAACACTTGCTACTATATCTTTGACAGTAGTTTGTTTTGATGGATAGTGGTATTTTTCCTCGCTGAACTAGTTTCATTGTTCGGATTGTTTATTACGCATTTAGACTACTTTTTAACTGCATTTCAGTTTATTTCGGTCATAGCCGTCATCAAGCATATCTTTTTAAAAATAATTTATCGTCTGTACTTTTGAGTACATTGGTTCTTTTTTCATTTGTTTGCACTTTTGATTCTAACGACTTACATTTTTTCACTTTTCCTGGTCATTGGTTTCTTTTGTCTCTGGATATTGTTTGTGTCTTGTTTTTTTTGCAAGCCTCTGATTGATGGATGGACTATACAAAAAAGCAACTAATAACGCCAGGCTGTCGATACCCTGTGGAAAGTGGCAAACAGTGCGGTGAGTGCAAAGGATGTTACTATGATGTTTGCACAAATCAAACTCCTGTGACTCTCAAATGGTTTAGTAAAAATAATTGCGTGGGTCTACGTCAGTGTTGTTGTTCGGACTCAAACAACTTTCTAACCGAAGCCATTGTAATGGTTAGCGCTGTCAAAGAGAATATTAGCAAACGTAATTGAGACTTATCAAATGGGATTCTCTCGACCGATTCACGAAGAAAAACTCAGAGTCCATTGACTAACATTGGTCAACGGAGAAAGGACGGTTTGTAAAGAGGTCTACTGTAAATAAATGCTCAAGAAAGGGAGATTTTTATGTATTTAACCCTCCAAATTACAGCGTGTAGGAAACGCCTATAAAACCTAATCTTAAGACTAGGTCTGTTTCTTGCAGGACAAACAACAACGTGACTAACCAAGTCATGAACAACCGCCTAGGATCCCACAGTGCGTGATTGATACAGATCAACGATAAGAAACGACCCAAAGAAAAATCAGTCCACAAAACGGTAGCTGAGAAATTGAAGACTGAGAGTAGTGCCAGGTCAATTGCCTTTCATACAGTCAGAGAGAGTGAAGGTTCAGAACACAGAACTCGTTTGGAGCATGACATTGAGTTGATAAAAGGGCTAATAGACCAGCTGATACTACAAGATATCTCTGGAA